GAAAGAAGACCCAAGTTGTGCTCCATCTATAGTTGATCTAAATGAAGAGGAAAAGGTTCAAGAACAACCAGGACCTACATCTGCCCAACCAAAGGTGGCAGACAATACTGAAAGGCCAATTCTTCTCCCATGTCCTCAGAGAGTTATCCAGCTAAGCAAAAAGATTGAAGAAGCTGAGGAAGAGATTTTAGAGACCTTCAGAAAGATAGAGGTGAACATATCTCCACTAGATGCAATCAAGCAAATACCCAAGTACGCCAAGTTTTTGAAAGACTTATGTACCCGCAGGAGGCATTTTAAAGGTAATGAGAAGGTAAATATGGGTAGAAATGTTTTTGCACTCTTTGAGAAACAATAGTCCACAATGCCTGAGAAATGTAAGGACCCCAGAATATTCACTATCCCATGCATTATTGGTAATAATAGGATTGAGAATGCCATGTTAGATTTAGGAACATCTATAAATGTCATACCATTGTCCATTTTTACTTCACTGTCTCTTGGCCCTCTGCAGCCTACAGATGTAGTTATTCAGTTAGCCAACAGAAGCATAACAAACCCAGCTGGGATTATTGAAGATGTACTAGTAAGAGTAAATGATCTCATTTTCCCAGCTGACTTTTACATTTTGGACATGCAAGAGGGGGAATCAGTGAAAGGTGCTGCACTAATCATTTTGGGAAGACCGTTCTTGAAGACTGTAAGAACGAAAATTGATATGCACGCCGGGACACTTATCATGGAGTTTGGAGACAGCATTGTGCGCTTCAACATTCTGGATGCCATGAAGCATCCGTTGGAAGAACACTCTGTTTTCCAAATTAATTTGTTGGATGATTTGATAGATGATCAATTTTCTGAATTTTTAGAAGAATATTTTTCTCTTAATTTTTTTGATTTTATAGACAATTCCATTTATGAATACTGTAATAATTCTTCTATATGTGATAATTTTATTTCAGACTTTTTGAATACAAATTCTGCAACTTCTGGTATTGAGGAAATTGGAAAATCAATAGGGAAAGAATGTGATGTTTTGAGTTCAGCAAGTACAATTGAATCTAACCTTTTTGATTTGAATGTTGCAGAAATTTCTTCTACTGAAAGTGCCAAGTCACTTCCATCTGTGGAGCAGTCTCCCACACTAGAGGTTAAACCATTGCCAGAGCATCTGAAATATGCCTATCTAGAGGCAAATGAGAAGCTCCCAGTGATAATCTCCACCAAGTTAAATACTAATCAAGAGGAGAAACTCCTAGAAATGATAAAGAGGCACAAGAAAGCTATAGGCTGGACCCTTGCTGATATTCCTGGAATCAGCCCTTCTCTTTGCATGCACAAAATATTATTGGAGGAGGGTGCTAAGCTAGTAAGGCAGCCTCAGAGGAGGGTAAATCCCATCATTTTAGATGTGGTGAAGAAGGAAGTCACCAAGTTGTTGCAAGCTAAGATTATCTACCCTATATCAAATAGCACTTGGGTCAGCCCGATCCAAGTGGTTCCCAAGAAATCTGGACTCACTCTGGTCAGGAATGAGAAGAATGAGTTGATACCCACTAGAGTCCAGAACAGTTGGAGAGTCTGCATAGACTACAGGAGGCTTAACCAAGTGACCTGGAAGGATCACTTCCCATTGCCTTTCATTGATCAGATGCTGGAAAGGTTGGCTGGTAAGTCTCACTATTGTTTTCTTGATGTTTTTTTTGGTTATTTTCAAATTTGCATAGCATCTGAAGACCAGGAAAAAACTACTTTTACATGTCCTTTTGGCACTTTTGCCTATAGGAGAATGCCCTTTGGCTTGTGCAATGCTCCAGGAACATTTCAAAGATGCATGCTTAGTATTTTTTCTGATTTAGTGGAGCATTGCATAGAAGTCTTTATGGACGATTTCATGGTGTATGACCCATCTTTTTCTGCATGCTTGGTTAATTTAGAAAAAGTTTTGAAAAGATGTATTGATACTAACCTTGTACTAAATTTTGAAAAATGTCATTTCATGGTAGAGCAAGGTGTAGTATTAGGTCATATCATATCTGAAAAGGGAATTAAAGTAGATCCTGCAAAACTTGATGTTGTTGCATAACTCTTGCCAACATGGGTTTGGAGATGAAAAAGAAGTATGAGAAGTATTGGGATCAAGTGGAACACATAAACCAGCTTCTTTATTTTGGAGTGATTCTTGATCCTAGATACAAGTTGACTTATGTAGACTGGTCTTTTAAAGACATGTATCCAGAAGACGCTGATTTGGTAAGGAAACTATCTATTGATGTCAAACATAAAATTTTTCAATTGTATGCTTGGTATGCTGCCCTGCATGAGCGAAAACATAGAGCTACACAATCTTCTCATGTTTCTTCAGAAAATAATCCAGTTCAAACCTCTACTCCTCAAGTTGTAGCCTGTTTTGCAAGGGCCGATGCTTACCATTAACATTTAAGAGAGAAAAGTTCAATTGATGAGAAAAATGAACTTGAGAGATATCTTGCTGAATCATGCTTGAGTTTTAATGATAAATTTGATCTTTTATTATGGTGGAAACAAAATAGTAAACTTTTTCCAATATTATCCACTTTGGCAAGAGATGTACTTGCTGTTCCAGTTTCAACTGTTGCATCTGAAAGTGCGTTTAGCACTGGGGGTAGGGTGTTAGACAGTTTTAGAAGTTCCTTATCTCCACAAATGATCGAAGCGCTCGTTTGTAACCAAAATTGGTTAAAATCTTCTCATTTCCAATTTAAGGATAAGGACATCAATGAGGACTTTGAAATTTCAGAGATTGTTATAGCAAGTAGTTTATTATTGCTGTTTTTGGTAATTTAATAAATAAAAATGCTATTTGCTGTTTTTGGTGATTGAATATTTTTTTTGGCTTGATCTCATGCATTAAAGACTTGTCAATTATTGGAGAAGTTGCACCTATGGCTGGAGAGATTAGACCTAAAAGTTCTACTGGTCTATCTCAGCCAATTAATATTAGCTAAAGTTGCCTATCGGGTAAGTTGTTTATTTCTTTTTAACATACTACCTTTGTTTATTTATTTATTTTTACTTAACTTTGTTTTTGTAACTTTTTGCCTTGGTATTGTATTTTTTTTTTTTTAGCAATGACTTTGTGGAGCTTGAGATATGAAAAGGCTATTTTGAATACATGCTATTTTTTGGATGGAATATCAATTGGGTTTATTTTGGATCAAGGACTATATGAAATCCTTGAGGACAAAGTGCAGCTTCTTGTTTTTTCATTTTAACATTGTCAAATATGCAAAGTGATTTTCTAAACCAATTCTGAGATGATCTCTAATTTATTTTTATGCAGATATTTTTTGCTTTTGTTGAATTAGTTTGGACAGGAACCATTCAAGCCTATTTACTTTATGTTATTGATAGTAAGATGATGCTCCTTTTCTACTAAATACATTCATGTATTAATTTGTAATATGCATGTCACTTTTTTTTGTTTCCAGCTATCTTATAAATTTCACTTTTATACTCTCAGCTTGAGGGTCATTTTGAAACCCAAGTCAAGATTTGTTTCATCACATCACATCATCATTCTTAGCATTTGCAACCATCATGAATAGGTAAATGACTCATTTCCTTCCAATATTCATTCTTTTCATGTGTTGAACTTTATTGCAAGTTAAATTCATTAACCTATCAAGGATTTTATCACTATTTTGTAGTTTTTCTCCATGAATTTACAAATAGGAAGCCAAATGAAAGCTAATTAAGGAGTTAGAGGAACTTGTCTTTTGCTAATCAATGTGTTGTCAATTAATATTGATTCTGTTGATTTAGTATTTTAATTGATTAGTTTTCCTGCACTATTTGAAAAGAGGTGTTATGTGTACTTATTTTATTTGTGGACTAAATTTAGGACCCAATTGATATTTCTAATTTTTCCATCTTGAAATGCATGTGCATGAATAAATGTGGACATGTTATTATTTCATTTAAAATTTGCTATATATGGTAGATTTGAATTTATTATGATTTTAGTTCTATTTTTAACTGAATTATGACTTGATTTTAATATAAAAATTTATTATAATATATTTTTTGTCATACGTTTTTTTTAAATTCTTATGTACTATAATCTGTTGGGAAAAAATATACAATAAAAAAAATTAAAACTAGACTTAAAAATGAACAAATAAGGTTTTTAATAGTTTTTGATAAAGAAATCATTTTACGCTCAAATTTGATTAAACTGCTTGTCCGACTGCTTAAACCGTAACCCGCTTAATCTGAAATTTATTTAACCCGACCTATTAAATGGACGGTTACGACTTTAATAATTCATAAGTCGGTTTGAGCTTTTTTAGTTTATTTGCATCCGAAACCGACCGAACTAACCGAATAGACAGCCATAGGCACCCTGATACCCTGACATTGTTAATTTTCTTGTCGCAGGAGTTTTTCCAGAAGGTGCACCAAAAGCTAAAAAGGATAAGATAAGGAGTGATGCCAAACATTATGTTTGGGATGACCCTTATTTATGGAAATTTTGCAGTGAACAAGTCATTAGACGATGTGTGCCTAAGAAAGAGACCACATCTATACTGCAGTTCTGTCATGCCTCAGCTGTAGGAGGTCATCAAGGACCCCAGAGGACTGCAAGAAAAGTATTGGATGCAGGATTGTATTGGCCTTCCATTTTCAAGGATTAATGACAAACATATTCCACCTGTGAAAGATGCCAAAGAGCAGGCAGAGTAATTACCTGGAGACAGGAGATACCCCAGCAACCCATCCTGTATTGTGACATCTTTGATGTATAGGGTATTGATTTTATGGGACCATTCCCTTCCTCTTTTGATTTTCTTTATATACTTCTTGCTATTGATTATGTCTCAAAATGGGTGGAAGCTAAGGCCACTAGGACTAATGATGCTAGAGTTGTTGCAGATTTTGTCCGTAGCAACTTGTTTTGTAGGTTTGGAATCCCTAGAGCCATCATTAGTGATCAAGGGAGTCACTTCTGTAATATGACAATGGAATTATTGTTAAAGAAATATGAAGTTGTACACAAAGTTTCCATTGCTTATCACCCACAGACAAATGGGCAAGCTGAACTCTCTAATAGAAAAATCAAGAAAATACTTGACAGAGTAGTGCAGCCCCATAGAAAAGACTGGAGCCGCAGGCTTGATGATGCCTTGTGGGCACATAGAACTGCGTTTGAGACACCCTTGGGAATGTCACCATATAGGGTAGTCTATGGAAAAGTCTGCCACTTACCAGTTGAGGTGGAACAGAAAGCCTACTGGGCAGTAAAGACTTGCAACATCCATTATGACTCAACTGGAGAACAAAGCAAATTACAACTGCAAGAGTTGGAAGAGCTATGTCTTGAGGCATATGAGAACTCTAGAATTTACAAGGAAAAGACTAAACAATACCATGACAAGAAGATTTCAAGCAAAGAGTTCTACATTGGTCAAAAGGTCCTCTTGTTCAATTCTCGCCTCAAACTCATGTCCAGAAAGCTCAAATCAAGGTGGCTTGGACCCTTCACTGTTACAAAGGTATTTTCCTATGGTGCAGCGGAAATCATAAATGACTCCACTAGTAAAAGCTTTATGGTGAATGGACACCGGTTGAAGCCATTCTTGCAAAATTTAGTTACCTTGGAGGAAGTTGAGGAGATTGAACTACACTCACCATGCACAAATCTCTCCTACAACCTATGGCCTAAGTAATTCACTTCACACGTTAAGCTAGTGATGTTAAAGAAGCGTTGTGTGAGAGGCAACTCACAATGATCTTAGAATTTTAGTTATTTTTCTGCAATAAATGTTGGTCTTGCATTTGAGCCTTTCTATTGTTACTTAAACATCACTTTATGCGCTTTGTCTCAACATTTGACATGGTTTTTCTGCATAATTCTCATTTTTGCAGGGTAAGATTGTGATTATAGGGGCTAAGTACTGCACATAGTCAAGGAAGTATGGATGCAGTAGGATGGTAAATATTTTTCAGGCTTAAGGCAATCACTTTGGTAAGAAAACAAAAGATAATCCTGAAAGTAATCACTTTAAGCTCTAACTTGCATATTCACTCTCTGTAGTGAGCACTCTCATAGTTGATAGTGATTACTTTTATTGCATGTAACGACAAGTAGGTGCGCGTGTTCACTCTCATTTGTCATAGTGTTCACTTTCATTGATGAAGCTCTCTGGAGTGTTCACTCTTAAAAAGTCACAGTGAACACGCGCAATGCTCGTTACTACTTTTGCAATTGGGCGCCTCTGGAGTGTTCACTCTTAAAAAGCAGAGTGAACACGTGCAACTCTAATATACCAAAATCTTTTGCATGTGTTCACTATCAATTTTTGAGAGTAAGCACTCTAGTTATATATATATATATATATATATATATATATATATATACAGTGCTCACTCTCTCACACACCCTCACCCCATTTCTGAGCGCCCCTCACTTCTATTCTCGAATCCCTTGCCTCTCCTCACTCGTATTTGGTTTCTTGCACCAAGGATTTAGTTTGCTTACACCTTTCTTGCATTCTGCACAGCTGATTCAGGTAATCCTTTACCCCTCATTCTCTTGCACTAGGATTCCTTGCTGTGAAATTAGGGATTTTGAAATTGTAACCTCCTGGACTGTAATCACATGATTTAATTTGTAATCCCACAGGTGTTTCTGCAATTGAGACATAATGGAAACATTTAATTGCATGAAATTGCAAAATTGTGGCCATTTCAAACCCTAGGATAGTTACCCCGTCTGCAAGAGTACTTACTTTGAATGTCCTGAATTAGAAACTTCTAGACTGAAATTGATAATTCCAAGTTGTAGTTACAAGCATATTTGTATGATTGAAGGATGATGGGAGCATTTAATTTGATTCTTTGTTCACTTTAGAAATGTTGAACCCTAAGGTAGCCACTCCCGCCTGCAAAAATGCTTAATTTGAATATTCTGCTATGTTGGTGCTTATCCTAGGGCTGTTTTGGGGGTGTCTAATACCTCATTCGTGCTGTATTTCCTAAATTTACAGCTTATTACACAGTTCCTTTTTGTGATTCTGGTTGACTTGGTGACGAATAACTCCCCATCATGTTTACTGGCATATGCAATAGTAACTGTTTAGTCTGCAAAAATAGTGTGTCATTTGGGGAATATCTGATGTTTTACATGTTCAAATATTTTGCCAATGCTACACATTCCATTGTACACGCACAACCAACCTTGATCACCTCTTTCATATTGTTGGAATTCTGCATGACCTTACATTGAACACACATCAATTTCCTGCGTACACATTGAGAAAGAGGTCACCTTGTTGTCGAATTGCATTCATTGTCTGTATGTGCATTTTCTGACACCTGAAGAATTCCTTTGAACTTTAATCCATATGCCTTGTCTACTTGATTTCTTTTTGAATTCTGCTGCCTGCCACTTGACAGAGCTGGAATCCTTCTACATATCTGTACAAATATGGCATATTTGCATCCACACATGCACCAATTTTTCTGCACACTGTTTACTGTCAAGACTGCCCTTTTGAATTGATTTGTTTTAACTTTTCTGCTTCACTTAGTTGCTGCCTCATATTTCAGAGTAGTTACTGTCATTCCCTGTAGTGAATACTTTGAAAGAGCAAAACCTCATAGTACTCACTTTGATACCCACTTTCACTTTGAATCTAATGATAGTTGACTTTAATGCTTATAACTGTTTCTTTTTACAACCAACTCGCTATTTCTTTTCATTCCCCTGCAGCAATATGGTGAATACTCCAAGGAAGAACACCCCTAGACCCAAGAGAGCCAGAACTGCTGGAGCATCATCATCCAGGCCTCCTCTTGCACATGACCCAAAGTTTAGATCCTTGGCTCATGAGGAATACTTCAGAACCAACATCTTGCGAAGGCAGATAGTGCAGGATCGTAATTTTGAAATCCAAGAGGGAACATGCACTCAATTTCAGGAAGAAATTTAGAGGCGGGGCTGGGAGCTTTTTACCACCTGTGCTGAAAATGGGTGGAAGGAGATCACTCAGTAATTTTACGCTAATGCAATGAGGGTGAAAGGAGACCAACTGCCCCTCAGACACACCATGGTGCGAGGTGTGGAAATTGATTTTTCCTCATCCAACATTCAGAGGATTCTGAACATACCTTCAGTGGAGAGGCGAGCTAGACAACTTGATTTTTCCATATTCAGCTATCTGGAAGAGAAGGACTACAAGCCCATACTCTAGGCAATCTGTAAACTAGGGAAAAATTGGGAGTTTGACATGCAGCTCATGCCCAAGAATTTGACCACAAAACACCTCCTTCCACCAGCCAAGGTGTGGAGCTTTTTTCTTTTGAGCTCTTTCATGCCAGTGTGCCATTCATCTACACTAGCTGTCAAGAGAGCTGAACTTATCTATGCCATCCTCACTGACATGCCCATCCATGTGGTAGACATTATTAGTAACTTCATCATGGGAATCTTAAGCACCAAGAAGGACTCTCTTGCATTCCTATCCATTATCACCATGCTCTGCCAGGATGCTGGGGTAGACATAGGTGAATACCAGCAGAGAATTAAAGCAGCCCCATGCATATCCACAGCCATGGTGAAAGACATTTTTCATGCTAAGAAGAAGACTGCTGACCCCAGGCCTCTCCCTACCTGCTGAATATAGGAAGAGAACCCAGTTGAACCTCAAAGCACAAGTCAAGCAAATAGCACTGAGGTAGGATGCGATCCATGCTGGCTAGAAATCAATGCTGACCCTCCTGGAAACTATGTCGCTTAACATAGGAAAGAAGCTGGGCATGATATTAGAACAAATTTATGACACCCTTACATTCACTGCACCTTTCCTCATAGCAGCAGTTAACCAAGATTTACCTCATTTCACAGCCACCACCCATGCACCTGCAGCTGAGAAAGATAGCAGCTCCAGTTCTCCAGAGGAGGAAGAGGATGATGAGGATAATGACAACCTTTCATCCTCCAGCTCAAATGAAGATCTCATTTAGCTCCACTTTCCCTTATGTCATTTATATTTATGCAATTTCTAGTTTATTTCCCTGTATTTAGTAACTACTACTTTCCCAGTAATTATCGTACTTTGCCATCTTTAGTACCATCTCTCCCTTTATTTTCTTGCATCACCCCCTTGAACAATATTTGACGCTTTCATATATACTATTTGTAGTTTAATTACCATTATTATACTCTGTGCTGAATCCACTATGCGTCTTTGTGCAGAGAATGCCCTCAGTAACATCAAGAGGAGCATGAATTTGATCTCTGGGTGTGACTCTGAAAGGGGGTGATCTCTCTGCCTCTGTTTCACATTGTCTTAGTCTGTTTTTCCTGCATAGTTCATAGATAAAAAATACAAAAAAAAAAAAATATTGTCATTATTTCTTTATTTTTAATGAAGTTCAGTTTTGTAATTCTAATTTTATATTCTGATTGCACTTCCCATTCAACTCTCAATCATTCTCTATTTTGTAAATAATCACCATTCCTACCATACCGAGCATATTTTCTTGTAAGGTGAACTATACTCATATGTTGCTAAGTAATTATCATCTTTTACCATGGTAGAGGATTGAGCCTTAAATTTCTTTTCTATGTGCACATTACATGTACTTTTGCATCTATCCTCTAGAACTTGCCTTGTTTCTTAATTGAATATGCATTGTGCAATTTTTCATCTAGATGATTGAGGCCTTCTTTGCACATACCCACCCACCTTAGAACACCCTTGCACCTAACTTCCCTTGTTCTACATTCCCTTCTTTTACCCAACTTAGTCTGCAAACATAATTTTCTTCCCTTAAGAGAGGCACTTCTTTTGAGTTGCATCAAGAGTGATTGCAAGAAACTAAGTTTGGAGTGATAATTGTGACTGTAGTTGCTTGAGGACAAGCAAGATCTTAAGTTTGGGGTGGTGAGCATTATACATGTCAATATTACATATAAAAAAAATGCTTGAATTTGAAGAAAAGAATGATTGCCAAAGTCCAATAAATTACAAAACTGAATGAATGGAAGAAAAAGAAAAACAAATAGAAATACAGCAAGGCATTTTGATAGAAGAAGAATTCCACATTAGGCAAAATAATGAAAAACATAGTGAAAGATTGTTTGAACCTCACAAACTGCATCATCTAATACATTCCATTCTAGTTGTTGTACTCATTCACTCAAAGGAATTCCCTCCTCTTATAAACCCACTTGAGCTTTTGTTCTTCATTGATAAAAAAAAATTGAACCTAATCTAACCACATTTGTGACTAACAAAACCCTTATGATAGCTGGTTCATTGTATCTAGGCAAAGGAGATTGAGAATATGGGCAAGCATATGGTAGGGTGAGGCAAAATGTATGAATTGAGAGAAACACTTAGCCTGAAACATTAATGAGTGAAGAGTGAAACACTATGCTGTGAGCTGGATGATTTCTTTGCATTGTATGGATTGCATGAAACCTTGCTGGATTTTTGTTTCAGTTTAATGGAACTTTGCATGAAAATAATTGATATGAGTGTGATTGCTTTGTCGAATGAATCCATGATTTTGGAAATATTGGAAGTGCTTATTGGAGTCTAAGATTGGAATGGAAATCTTTGAGAAATTTTTTTTTGGGATAAATCCAACCCTTTACGTTCAATTTTCTTGAGTTTTGATTTACTTGAGGACAAGCAAAAGTTTAAGTTTGGGGTTGTGA